ATTATTGTATTTATTAAAATTAGGTTTTCTTAATTATTATTTTAAGTTAATTTAATTTCTGTTATAATTGTTCGATTATATGTGTACCTTTGAAGTATTTTGATCAAAACTATATTATTGTACGATAGTTTAATGTTTTATTTTCAAACAAATATTCTAAGTCAAAACATATTTAATTAAATTATACTTAATTACCTTTAACCAATCATGTTCAACATGTCATATTCTTATGATGTGATACATTTGTTTGAAATAAAATTGAATACCTAGTAATGTATCACAATTATTCTTTATTATTAATTAGTAGTATACAATACTTTTATTTATTAAGAGAGTATGTGTATCACCAGATTATTTTAGCATGTACAATATAGATTAATAATATTTTCAAAACTAAATGTATTTACTAAAATAGGTTATTAAAGAATTAAAACATTGAAAACTGACAATATTATAACTTATTGATGTATAATTATTCTTATTTTGATATCTAGTGTAGTATTTGTTACTGAACACAATTACATGGTATTTTAATGACATTTTTAATTTGAAAATTATACCACTATAATTTGTGTTAGAAATTTTAAACTTTGAATGTAATGCAATTGTTGAGCTTGAATATACATTACATTTTGTTAAATTTGTTCATATAATATTAAATGTAAGAAATTATCATAACTTGTTGAAGTATTAAAATGTATTCTCATTAAATTGTATAGTTTTCTAAATGTTTAGACTGAATTTTAATTATACATTTATATTTTGGTATATAATTACTATCGGTATATATTAATACTCATTAGAATCAAATATTTTATTGGTGTTTTATATAAATCAATAATATATTAACTTAATTTTATAAATTATATAATAAAAATAATTAAATTACTAAATGCATAAGAATATAGTTGAAATTTAATTACAATAGTTGTAATGGTCAGACCGGATATCGTCAACCAGTTGTCTGCGAGAACATTTTGGTTATTTGCAAAAAAATAATCGTTCCCCAAAAGTAAAAAAAAAGGTTCAAAAGTTATAAATGACTTGCTACAAAGTTGCAGAGAAAAAAAACATTAATTTATATCATGTAGTTATAAATAACTCTTCTTTTGTATTTATAATAGTAATATAATAAAATTATTATTAGTTCATGCCTTGTATAAATTTTTATAATACGAGTATCATATATTCACTCTTTTTTTAGACAAATTTTAATCCCCCCCCTTACAGAAAATTTGAAAATATGTTACTGCTCTATTGATATGCTTTATTTAACAGTATATAGTTATCAAACATATCAATCACTGCATAAAAATTCTATGTGAGCTGGTAAAAAATAAGGGTTTTTTGTCTTTATTTATGTATCAATAAAATTATGTTATTTCGTACATAAAATCATTAGCTTAACAAAATAAAATAATTTTATAAGTGTTTCTGGATACTATTATAATCTTCTGTTCAACTTAATTGTATTTCCGAAGTAGTTTTTTGTTATTTTATGTTTACTATTTAAGTAGTAATTTCCATTTTAACTATGAATTGTATTGTATTTCCTAAGTATTTGGACGTAAGTTTTTATTTAAATTTATAGATTTTAATGACTTTATAAATATTATTTTTCGTTTCTATTATTATTTATTATTAGTGTTTTTGCAATATAATGTAGAGTTATTAACTTTATGAGATAATAATACCTATTTATTTAATTCAATTAGATATTATAAAATTAATATCGCTACCCATATTCTATACATTTTAAACATATTTTTGAATTTTAAATTATATTTTAATACTAGGTGTTTAATCTTCTTTTATCTAAGTTATATCCCAGTTTAGCATGATTTATACTAATCAGACATATACCGACAGACACCGTACCGTACCGTTTCAATGCAAACATACCTACTGTACTGTTCCCATACTCAAATTTTCGCTCTTACATCGTCTCCGTTTCAACAATAAATTTTTATAAATTTTAATAATAATTAATATTACCAGATATACCTATAGATGGTGATATTTCTTTCCAGCAAGATTCTTGGTTCATATGATCACTATATTTTGTGCAACAATGCATAGAGGCATTCTCGGCCACTAACGAGTTCAATTAATATCTCTTAAGTTCATTAAAACCAAATGAAAAGCTTGTACTTTTTAACTTGTAGAAAATTTTTATAAAATGTGAATGCCGAATGGTGTGCCTACGAAACTAATGGCAGACAGATATAATATGTCTGTTGTTCATTCACACTATTCATAATATAATAATTCATAATAATGCCGGACGGACTCTGTCGGATCGGTACGTGTATGAACGGAACGGAAACGTTCAAATGCGAATTACCTCTATTAAAACACAATAAAATATTTTGTAGAATGGTACGGTACGGTGTCTGTCGGTACGTGTCTGACTAGTGTAAATCGTGCTTTTATGTTGTAGTTATTTTTGGTTTTTAATCGAACATTATAACTGGGCCATCTAGTACTAATTATACATATATGAGTAATTAGTACATCTATGACAAGCAATATAAACCCATAGCTATATATATATATATATGAAACATTTAATATATATATCTGTGTATAAACATATGCATTATCTCCGGATGAACAGCTCCTACAGTGATGGTTATAACTAGGGCTGAGATTTCGATGCACTGCATTTTTTTAAAACTTAGGTGATGTCACAAATTCGTTTTATGTATTTATGAATGAGTATAAGAAATTTCATTTTACATATTTTGATCATTTTCTTAATTTTTAGAGCAATTTGGTGTCTTATACGTGTTTTTTTTTTTTGAGATTTTAAATCCTAAATTTTATTTTGAAAATTTGTTTTATGATTTTTACATAGAAATATGCTTTTTATATAAATGTAACAAATTATACATTAGGTACTCGTAATTTATATTATATCATCCTTCGTCATTAAATAAGAGTGTGTGAGGAGGGTGTATCCTATTCTATGGCAGTTGATGGAAATCTCGTGTTTTCTTGAGGTATTGATGGGGAAAAGAAAGGGCTGTACGGAATTCTTAATTTCATTAAGTTTAGTGAACATTTCATTCCATTTGCTTTGACACAAAAGTAATGTGTCATATTGTATGACTCTCTTTATGTCAATATAGGAGAAATAGGGTAAGCAGAGAGCATCGGGTGGTGAGTGAACGAGTTTGGTGGCCTTGTCCGCTTGTTCGTTTCCAAATATGTTGCAGTGTCCAGAAATCCAAGTTTATGTAATATTTTTGTTTGATTTTTGTGCCATGAATTAAATGTTCTGAATTTTTCTGGTGATGTCAGACGGGGTGTAGTAATTTTGAGTGTTGGTAATGGTAAAGAGGGAGTCGCTGAAGATAGTAATGTTGTTGTTTACTACGTTATATACAGTATACTCAATGGCTTTAATTTGCTAAAGTTTTATCGGTATATATTGAGCAATAGTGTGAAAGTTTTCATTTGATTGTGGTTTTGTTACATATGATAGCCATATTGAAGACCGCGTTTAAGATGGGAGGATTGCGTTAAGAGAGACGCTAAAACAGTGGAGCCGGAGAGTCATTGGCAGGAAGTAGCAGAGGATAGAGATAGGTGGCAGTATGTTTATCTAGAGGTATGGTCTTGAATGACCGAAACCAAGGAAGAAGAAGAAGAAGAAGAAGATAGCCATTCTTACACACCCACAAAATATTTGATATTTTATAAAACTTAATAAAAATATATTACATTTTTTTTGTATAAATTTCAAAAAATATTTAATTGAAGTACACATTATTAATAGTTGTAGGTATGATTATAACAAATCTTTTTTTATTTAAATACAATTTGATATAAAAACTTTGATACATTTATGTCACCAAAATCTTTATAAAAAAAACCAAATTTTAATTTGTAAAAAAAAAAAAAAATTGTTAAAATCAAAATTTTATTTTAAGTTAGAAATGAGTTAATTAATACTTATTGTGTTACATAATTTGAAAACCACATAATAATGATCAAAATGGTTTTCCTTGTCTTTTGGTTTGGAAAATTGTTGATTATTTGGTCAATATTTATTTCTTCCGTGCGTTCTTTTTTTATACTTAAAATTGATACCTACATTACTGAGTTTTTCTTGGGAAATAAATGTTGACAATTTTTAATTTTGAAAATAAATATCTGGAGAGCTACTTGAAAAATAATTTTCTATTGTGTAATTTACCATACTTAGGATATAAAGTGGTTTAATATAATTAATAATTGATAATACTTGTTGAGTAAAGTCAGAATTAATATCTATTTTATATTTTAAAGCAAAATCATAATATGTCTTGATGATATCATTTTCATTTTTTCTTTTAATGAAGAAGAATTAAAAAAAATATTAAATGAACATTTTACTATTCATTTTAAAATATTATAATCCACATAATTTTACTATTTATTATTGGTCACATCTGGCAATTGGTAGAGTAGTCTTTCAATATTAAGTGTCCCGGTTCAATGTACCGGTGGTTTCTACGACACTGGTAGCAGTTATAGAAAATTATTTAATTAGTTATGGTATCAGTGGCTTAATTTAGTAATTCTTGTGGAGGGTGATGAAACTGTTGTACATTTTATTAGTTTACCTCCCCCCAAATAAATAAAATAAAATGTATGTATCTTGAATATATAAGCACCTCTCAAAACTACCATAATAATTACTTAAAGTAAAAACATGTATAAATGCATGCACATATGGAAACAAATAATTACTTAATCATAGGCGTGTCCAGACCTTTGACGCAGAGGGTGCAACCTGGCTAAAGTCCCTTAGCCCCCCCCTTTTTATACAATTTTTGTTAATTTCAAATTCGTCATTATTATAACTAATATTAAAAAAAAATGTCCCTATTTCAAATGGCATATTATAATAGATGTCAGTAGGTAAATAGTTAAAATAAAATCATGTATAAATAATAAATATAATATTATATAATAATATATATATATGTGTCAGTTACAAAATTTTAAAATAATTAAAGTTCTAGTCGCCGTTGTGTATTGTTAAGATGTTTGAACTCTTCAATTATATCTTCTGGATCTAATTCAGATGCCAATTCCTGTTCAACAAATATTAACATCGTTGACTCCAATCGATCTTGCGTCATACAACTTCTCAGCTTTGTTTTTACCAAACTTAATTTTGAAAAAGATCTCTCATAAGAGCAACTTGTGACTGGCATTGTTACAAAAAGAGTTAATATCTTGTAAAAATTTTGAAAACTATTACATAAATTATTAGTGGACAGATTATTTAACCACTGATAAATAGTTTTGCTTGTTTTACCAATTTCAAATTCTGGTAACGATTTTAACAATCTGAGTTCTGCTTCAAGTTCACTGTCATTTAAGTTAAACCTATTGGAAAGTAAAATTAAGTCATGTTCATGCAGGTTAAACTGTAATAAACGTCCAATTGCAATTATTAGTAAAAGTTTTTCTTGACTAAAACGTTCTTCTAATCCGTTTAAAAGGTCATCTAAAATTGTGTAGTACACAAAACATTTAATTTCTGTTTTTTTGTCAGAGATAAAATGTTGAGTATTGTTGCTGTCAATTCGACTAGACACTTTTCTTTGTTTTACATTTGGTATCTCTATTTTTTGTGAACTACAAATGTCCAAAACTTTGTCAAATAATGTTGAATAGTTGTCTTCATCAGTTCTTAAGTCAGTTAATGATTTCTTTAGTGCTTCAACAATTGATACGGCAGCTAAGAGGTCTATGTCTGGTGATTGCAACTTTGCACTAACTATGCGAATTTGAATCAAAATAGGTTTTAAAACAGTTAAAGCAAATATAAAATTGAAACTTTTTAGATTGTGGATAAGTCCATTTGCTTTTAATCTCACATCAGCTAATTTTGTAGTCTTATATATTTCTGAAAGACAATGTACTAATGAATCATAATTATGATCAACTGCTTCAATAGCTTCTGATCTGCACGCCCATCTGGTTGTCGATAACGATTTTAATATTTTTAATTTATTATTTGTTTGTTGAGATATTTTTTCTAATACAGAATGTCGAATTGGACTTCCCTCAACAAAACTAAATATCATTTGAACACACCCAAAAAAATCAAAAACTAAACGATTTTTTATGCCCCAATGAGTCCACTAAAACCAGATTAAGGCAGTGACCATAACAATGTATATACTGAATTTGAGAATTTTCAATTTTAATTTTGGCTTGAACACCATTATTTTTGCCAGACAATGTAGCAGCTCCATCAAAACAAACAGCCAAGACAGAACTCCAATCTACATTAATTTCTTTAATTTTTTTCAGTTAAACTGTTAAAAATTGAATTCACGTCCACTGCATGTAAACGTTGTAAGCCTATAAATATTTCAGTTGGTTTATTTTTCGAAGGATCAACAAACCTTAATACAACAGACATTTGCTCGTGATGGCCCACATCACTTGTTTCATCTGCACATGCAGAAATAAGTTTATTTTTTATTTTTGATAAAATTTTACGTTTCATTACATTGTTAATAGATTTCAATAAATCATTTTGGATTAAATTACTGGTATATAGTACATTCTTTTTACCATTATCTATGTGATTTCATAAAGTTTCATCATACTTTTTAAGAACACTTACAAAGTCTAAAAACATACCTTTACAAACACTGGACTTTTGTTCGTTGTGTCCTCGGAAGGGCTTACCACTTTTAGCTAAACATAGCGTGATGTCAATTAGGCGAACCAATACACTACGATTATGTAAACGTTCTTTTTCTCTCTGACTAATGGCTATAATTCTTGACTCATCTAATGCAATATCTATTGAATTAGAACCTAAATAATTTATTTTTGCAATCATGGAATTAATGTGGGATTTAGATTTTTGATGGTCTTTAAACTTTGTAGTTGCCTTATTTCAATTTTTGAAACCATGACGTGAAAAT